AGATCTGGTTGCGCCGCCCACCTGGCTTCACTGGGACTTTTCCTCCTGGCACCCAGTGGAGCCTCGGGTGGCCAGTCTACGGTCTCCGCCAGGCACCGCGTGAGTGGCACGCCACACTGAGGACTACGCTTGCGGCTCTTGGGTTTGCTCCCTCTACTGCCGACCCGTCGCTGTTTCTGCGCACCGACACCTCTTTGCCGCCGTTCTACATCCTCGTGTACGTCGACGACTTGGTCTTTGCCACTGCTGACACTGCTGGACTCGCCCACGTGGAGTCCGAGCTGCAGAAGAGACACACGTGCACAGACCTGGGTGAATTGCGCAGCTACCTTGGCTTGCAGATCACCCGGGACCGAGCACGCCGCACCATTACCCTGACTCAGTCACACATGGTGCAGCAGGTCCTTCAGCGCTTCGGCTTCACGTACTCCTCGCCTCAGGCCACTCCTCTGCCTACTCGCCACTCGCTCTCAGCTCTGCCTTCGGATGAGTCCGTAGAGTCGAGTGGCCCGTACCCAGAACTTGTTGGCTGCCTCATGTACCTGATGACCTGCACACGACCTGACCTTGCATACCCTCTTAGCATTCTTGCACGCTATGTTGCTCCTTGGAGACACAGACCGGAGCACATGGCTGCACCTAAGAGGGTGTTGCGCTACTTGTGCAGTACGTCGGGCATGGGGCTAGTGCTTGGAGGGCAGAGTCCAGTGGTCCTCACAGGTCACGCAGACGCTTCTTGGGCTGAGGACCAGGCTACACAGCGGTCGTCACAGGGATACACCTTCAGCCTTGGTTCCGGCTCTGTTTCGTGGAGGGCTACTCGCTCATCTTCCGTTCTCGGCTCCAGTTGTGAGGCTGAGATCTACGCAGGAGCCATGGCTGCTCAAGAGCTTTGCTGGCTCACCTACCTGCTGACTGACCTCGGAGAGTCTCCTCGTTCTCCTCCAGTACTGTACGTAGACAACAAGGCCATGCTGGCCTTGTGTCGGGAGCAGTGCCTGGAGCACAGAACGAAGCACATTGCTCTCCGCTACTTTCTTGCTCGTGAGCTGCAGCAGCGTGGTCAGTTGCGACTTGCGTACGTGGCCTCTGAAGCCAACACTGCTGATATCTTCACTAAGGCACTTGTGCCTTGTGATCATCAGCGCTTCTGTACTCAGCTTGGTCTTGTGCCTGCCTTGCCTCGCTCACTTCTTGACCTTGCTTGTACTGTCACATATATATACACCTGCACTTGCTTGTTTAGCCTTTTATATATATATGTGCTCTTGCATGTGAACTGGCCTTCTGGCCTTGAGCTTGTGCTCGGAATGTGTGGTGACTTTGTGATCTGTCAGAACTTTACAGCTTACTCATTTGTGTAGGCTATAGTGGGGTACCCCATAGGGGGTACAATCCCATTAGGGTTTCCTATTTGTACTCACTTCATTCATAGTCATTTCATTCTCGTTCACTTCTTCTCATGATCCACCCTGAACTTTGCTTTGTTCTGCTTGACTGGTCTTGTGACCCCTTGTTCTCCCCCACTTTACCTATGGGGGTGTGTCAAATCATAATGTTCTGTAGGCTGTAGTGGGGTAGCCTATATGGGGTACACATTTCTAGGGTTGCATATTTGTACCACATTCCATTCCTTAGTGCACTCATTCTCGTTTCAATTATCACAACATCCGGCCTCCCCACTGCCTGCTCCTTCTCCCTACACTGGTCCTACTAGAGGTCTTGCTGAGCTTCGTGAGCCTGCGTCTCGCCTTGCGTCGCCTGTCCATCCTGCTCGCACTAGTGGTCATAGTTCGCGTCAGCGTCCTCCTCCTGTCCCTGGCACGCACCGGATGTCTCTACGTCCGTCCACTGCTCCTCTGCGTGCCCCGTTGCCTTCTCCTCCTGAGTCCTCGCTTCCTGTTCTTGCCGACCCGGAGTCGGGCTCTCTTCGTGCTGCCAGTCCTACTGTCACGCGCCTCCTTGCTACAGTCATCACTGACCCTTCCTTTGAGTCCACTGCTGCGTCTGCCCTAGTTGCTGAGCTCGTCGACTTTGCTGCTCGCGACTACGCTGCTAGTCTTGTCGCTGAGTCTGAGTCTGTCTGTCCTCCATCCGTCGGGGGTGAGTGTGCCCTTGGCACGGACGTCCTTGAGGACAGGCACGAGGAGTTCCAGTGTTTGGCTGCTGCTTCACCTCATCTCGTGTCCGTACTGCTTACCCCTAAGGGAGACCCGGATGCATTTGACATCCCGACTCCGCGCTCTTACGCGGAGGCAATAGAGGGTCCCTACTCCTCTCAGTGGCAGGCAGCCATGGACACAGAGATGACTTCCTAGAAGTCCACAGGCACCTACGTTGACGAGGTTCCCCCGCCTGGGGCAAACATCGTCAGTGGCATGTGGATTTTCAGGGTGAAGCGGCCGCCGGGTTCTCCGCCTGTCTTCAAGGCGCGTTACGTGGCTCGTGGCTTTAGTCAGCGGCAGGGAGTTGACTACTTTCAGACCTTCTCTCCCACCCCGAAGATGACCACTCTTCGGGTACTGCTGCACATAGCTGCTCACCGCGACTACGAGCTGCACTCTCTTGACTTCAGCACTGCTTTCTTGCAGGGCAGCCTGCACGAGGAGATCTGGCTGCGTCGCCCATCTGGCTTCACTTGGTCTTTTCCTCCTGGCACCCAGTGGAGCCTCCGGCGTCCAGTCTACGGTCTCCGCCAGGCACCCTGTGAGTGGCATGACACACTGAGAACTAGACTTACGGCTCTTGGGTTTGCTCCTTCTACAGCCGACCCGTCGCTGTTTCTGCGCACCAACACCTCTTTGCCGCCGTTCTGCATCCTCGTGTACGTCGACGACTTGGTCTTTGCCACAGCTGACACTGCTGGACTCGCCCACGTGAAGTCCGAGCTGCAGAAGAGACACACGTGCACAGACCTGGGTGAACTGCGCAGCTACCTTGGCTTGCAGATCACCCGGGACAGAGCACGCCGCACCATTACCCTGACTCAGTCACACATGGTGGAGCAGGTCCTTCAGCGCTTCGGCTTCACGTACTCCTCGCCTCAGGCCACTCCTCTGCCTACCCATCACTCGCTCTCAACTCTGCCTTCGGATGAGTCCGTAGAGTCGAGTGGCTCGTACCCAGAGCTTGTTGGCTGCCTCATGTACCTGATGACCTGCACTCGACCTGACCTTGCATACCCTCTTAGCATTCTCGCACGCTATGTTGCTCCTGGGAGACACAGACCGGAGCACATGGCTGCAGCGAAGAGGGTGTTGCGCTACTTGTGCAGTACGTCGGGCATGGGGCTTGTGCTTGGAGGGCAGAGTCCAGTGGTCCTCACTGGGCACGCAGACGCTTCTTGGGCTGACGACCAGGCTACGCAGCGGTCGTCACAGGGTTACACCTTCAGCCTTGGTTCCGGCTCTATTTCATGGCGGTCTACCCGCTCGTCTTCTGTTCTCGGCTCCAGTTGTGAGGCTGAGATCTACGCCGGGGCCATGGCTGCACAGGAGCTTCGCTGGCTCACCTACCTGCTGACTGACCTCGGAGAGCCGCCTCGTTCTCCTCGAGTCCTGTACGTACACAACAAGGCCATGCTGGCCTTGTGTCGAGAGCAGAGACTGGAGCACAGAACGAAGCACATTGCTCTCCGCTACTTCCTTGCTCGTGAGCTGCAGCAGCGTGGTCAGCTGCGCCTTGCGTACGTGGCCTATGAGGCCAACACTGCTGATATCTTCACCAAGGCACTTGTGCCTTGTGATCATCAGCGCTTCTGTACTCAGCTGGGTCTTGTGCCTTCCTGGCCTCACCTGCTCACCCCTTGACCTTGTTTGTACTGTTGCATATATATATACACCTGCTCTTGCTTGTCTAGCCTTATATATATATGTAATCCTGCATGTGAACTGGCATTGTGGCCTTGAACTTGTGCTCGGAATGTGTGGTTACTTTGTGATCCACCCTGAGCTTGCTTTGCTTTGCTTGACTGGTCTTGTGACCCCTTGTTCTCCCTTATTTTGCCTATGGGGGTGTGTCAGATTTATATGACATAGCTACTGTAGGCTATAGTGGGGTAGCATATATGGGGTACAGCTTTTTGGGGTTTGTACTTGTACCCAACTTTCCTTTAGTCATTTGATTCTCGTTCTCTTTTCTCACACTATTTCTTTACTGAATGAACTGTTTTGCAATCTTTGTTTGCTCACTCAATTGAACTGGTAATAGGTTCTTATATGTTGCCTGATGTTGACTAGCTTAGTGATCTTCTTTAGGGCGGATTCCTGCTTTCGGGACATCCCGGCTTTGGGACTCCGATATAATTTCACGAGCCGCGATTTTACCGAATCGAGCTTTGGTCTTCTGCTTCGGGAGTTAGCGAGCTTCAGCGAACATGGTGGGCGAAATTACATTCTCCTCAATATTCATATCAATTAGCTCAAGTGCTACGTTTCTGAATTTGCGACAAAAAGTACACTCAAGTATTGTGCAACATTGCACATCTCTGCGTCGTCCAAAAGCGGAATCGGTCGCCAGTTTGTTTTGGCGATCGCAACTTACAACGACGAGAGCTACGATTTCGCGAAGCCAGCAAAATATCTGTTCAGAAAAATCGTGAACTGAATTTTGGGATGATCCGAGGTGCTGCATTGCAACTCTTGTCTTCCCAAGATTTGGGATGACTAGCACAGCGGATGTCCCGAAGCCAGGAAGCCAACAGGTTACAACTCAATGCCCACCATTTTCGACCTCCGACCACCAAGGACGCGCCCTAATCATCGAACCATCCCTGAAGCTGCCAGGGCAGTGCCCAACCTCTGTTATAATTGGACGGAGGTGCATACAGAACTACTGGTAGGTCACTGCGTCAGTCAGGTGTCACGCAGTGCAGCTGATTGTTGAGTTGTCGAAAAGCTTTTTGCTTCCGGCTTGTACGGAGTTAGCCGTTTCTAATTCAGCATCACCAAGTCGAGCGTGAGACGAGACACCGTTTCAAACCCCTGCGTCTGGACGGCAGCATGCCTGCTCGCGGGGTTCTCCGTCCGTTGCTCCTCGTTCTCCGTAAGCCAGTGCTGCTGATTCCCCTCCCTCTTGGTTCCACTTTGGGGGCACAACTCAAAATTCTCTAAATTGGATCCAGCATTCCCAGCATTACGTTATCTACTTCTCCTATTTTCTGAGTCTGTTCTCCCCTCTAGTTGCCATTACGCGCTCGTTCGTCTCTCCTCCCTTCCACCTGACCCTCCTCTCGTCGTTCTTTCTCAAGCACGGTTCCACCACATGTGTGTTTTGAGGAACCCACGTGGCCGGAGGCGCGAATCACAGCCCACGTGGGTGGCTCGACAGCTCCAAGGCCATGTGGAGCCCCACGCCTGCTTTAATTCGCGCCGCGAGTTTCCATTCTCCTCGCGTCTCATCTTTAACCTTCCACTCTACTCCCGGCTCCCCTCCTCTCGTCTCCCAGCTCCCCTCCTCGCATCTCCCCGCCCCCCTCCTCGCGTCTCCCCGCTCCCCTCCTCGCGTCTCCCCGCTCCCCTCCTCGCGTCTCCCCGCTCCCCTCCTCGCGGCTTCCCTTCTCTTCTATCCCCCTCGTCCCTGTCAGTCCTCCGGCCAGCACAAGCCCAAGACGAGTCTCTCTTCTCATCCCCAACTCCCAGCCCCCTCTGCGTCCCTCCCACCCCCACCTGCAGCCTTTCGCCCCCCCCCATCCGCACTTCCCTACCAGCCAATTCTTGCCGTCCCCTCATCCCATCTTCCCCCCCCCGGCCCCCTTCCTTTCCTCTCTTTCCCCTCGTCCCCTTCAGTCCTCCGGTCAGCACAAGCCCAACAGGTTTCTCTCCTCTCTGACCTCCAACTCCCAGACCCCTCCGCCTCCCTCCCACCCCCAGCAGCAGCCTTTCACTCCCCCCATCCTCACTTCCCCACCCGCCAATCCCCGCCCTCCCCTCCTTTCCCTCGATCCCCCTTCCATTCCTCTCTTCCCCCTCGTCCATGCCAGTCCTCCGGCCAGCACAAGCCCAAGACGAGTCTCTCTCTCAGCCCCAACTCCCCCAGCCCCGCTTGTCCCTGCCATCCCTTCTTTTCCCCTTTCCGCCCAATCCCCCTGGTCCGCCCATCCCCTCTTCCCCTCGTCCCTTTCAGTCCTCCGGCCAGCACAAGCCCAAGACGAGTCTCTCCTCTCAGCTCCAACTCCCCAAGCTCCCTCTGCCCCCCTCACTCTCCTTCCCAGACCCTTCTCTTGCCTTCCTCCCCTCTTCCCTCTCAGTGCTCCTGACAGCACAAGCCCAACAAGAGTCTCTTACCCAATCGCAGCTTCTGCAGCAGCGGGTGCAGGATGTTTTTGGGGCAGGGGCAGCAGGGAATAGTGCAGAGGCAGGTGCTTCAGGGCCAGGGGAAGTTACCCTGGAAAATGACGAGATGCTGCTGGGAAGGGTTTCGGAGATGGAAAGGGAGCTGAGGAAGCAATTAGCAGAGCAGGAGCGAGCAGGAGGGCAGTTAACAGGGTTACCACAGTCTACAGTGGTATCAGAGCCTACAGATTTACCAAAATCGACAGGGTTGCAAGAATCACCAGAATTACCAACAGGGTTACTAAACGTAACAGGGTTACCACAAGCATCAGGGTTACAGAAATCATTGGAATCGCTAGCAACAGGAGCCAGTGAATCCAGGCAGGAGTCTGGACTGATCCAAGGATCCGCCAGTGGACTGCCTGCCACGTCACCTGACAGCACAGCAGCTGCCACCTCAACTGCCAGCTCAGCATCTGCCATGTCAACTGCTAGCTCAGCCGGTGGAAATGGGCCAGTGTCAGAAATACTATCATTGGAGCAGGAGGCGAAGCAGCTGGCTGCTGATGTGGCACAAAGCAGGGTGGACAGACAAGTGTGAGTATAACGAGAGGGGGGAGGGTATTCATGCAGTGTGTGTGTGTGTGCCCGTCACACACTGTTCCCGAAGAAAGGATATTGACTCCCCATCACTGCCGCCTATTCGCCTCCTTGACTCAGGTTGCCCTCTCTGTGACTCTTTATGCATTCATGCCTTACCTGCACTCTGTGCCTCACTCTCCCATTGTGTGCCCCCTATTTGCTCAAACAGAGCCCAGCAGCGCGCACAGCAGCTGCTGCAGCGACTCACAGAAGCAGAGGCGCGGCTGAGGGGGCAACCAGCCGCACCTGTAGCCGCTTCCAGCACCAACAGCATTAGCAGCAGCACCACCACCACCACCAGCACCGGCACCAGTGGCATCAGCAGCAGCAGCAACAGCAGCAGGACCAGCAGCTCCCTTGAATCTCTAGGCTTAGACCCCATGGGCTCCCTTCTACAGGAGGCCCTCTCCTCTCCAGCCTCCCTCCCCTCCCCTCTCTCCCGTTCCTCCATGTCAGAGCTTCACCTCAATATCGGTGCCCTCTATTCCCCCCATCTCGACTCCCTCAACTGCTCCAACGCCCCCACCTGCCCGGATTTCTCGGGCAGGTGCTCTGTCAACCCGGAAATTTCTGCGTGTTTCAACCCCGGGCTGGAGGACGACGGGAAGCAGTGGCTCCGGGCACCGGAAAACTGCCCGAAGGTGAAGAATGTGGTGGAGAACGGTGCGGAGGGGTTCGATGTGAGATGCAGCCATGAATCTGACTTTGCATGGCACAAGTGGATGGTGTTTCAGACCTTCCTGCTGCGGGGGGTCTATGTGAGCGCGCAGGGGCAGGTGTTTAACGAATCAACCCACTTTGCTCGCAAGGGATGCGGCCATTTCTCCGAGGTTAGTTCTGGCTTGTGGACTTACAGCTGGCACTTGGGTTGGGCTTACAGTGAAGTGAATGGATGGGGGTCTTTTTCTGGATTTGGTTTTGCACTTTGCAAGGGATGTGGCCGTTTTGACGACGTGATCGCTCTGATGCGAGGTGGCGCTCAGAGAGTAAAAGTTTCGAGAATTCTTACAGGTGACAGTTTTTGGGCGCCTAAATAACTGTCGCAGGAACAAAAAAACAAAAAACCAACAAAAACAAAAACCTTAGTTCAATCTTCAGTTTTGAAGCGATCCCATTTCGCGTTTGTGAGCTGTCTGATCTGAGAGTTGCTCCACTGAGTGACCGCATCGACGTGATTTCTGAGTTGATTCAAAATCACCTGAGTGTTCTGATGTGAAAGGTGCTCCTCCATTTTTTTCTAGACGGCTCAAGCCTGGGCATTCGCATTCTCAGGTGCAAGCAAGGTCCCTTAACTCTCTCATGTTCCACAGTCAGTAGCAGTTGGTTCAAGCAAGCTCCCTCAACTTCCCCTCCCTTTTCGCCCCTCCCTCCTCCCGTCGTTTTCTACTCTTTGCCTCCCTCCTCACCCCCCCCCCCCCCCCCCCCCCCTCTCTCCTCCCTCTTCCTCCCTCCCGTCTGTCCTCCTCCTCCCTACTCCCTACCCCTTCTTCTCCTCCTCCCTACTCCCTACCCCTTCTTCTCCTCCTCCCTACTCCCTACCCCTTCTTCTCCTCCTCCCTACTCCCTACCCCTTCTTCTCCTCCTTCCACCAGTTCTCATACCCTCAGTCCACCCCAGTGCGGCACATGCACAGGACGCTCCCCTTGGTGCACCCACAAGCCACCAGCTACTTGAAAGTTGTAACTTTTCGCCCTTATGCCCCACTCCACCCCTGCCCTCCCCCCACCAGTTCTCCTACCCCCAATCTACCCCAGTGCGCCACATGCACCGCGCTCTCTCCCTCGTGTATCCGCAGGCCACGGGGTTCTATCACGGGCTCATAGAGTGGCTGCCTCAATTTCTCCTGCTCGCTTCGCTGCTGCAGAAGCTTCCCAACATAGCAGTGCTTGGCACGCCCGAACAGGTACGCTTCATATGGGGGTGGAATGTGGTGGAGTGCGGTACTCGCTCTCTCCCTCGTGTCCCTGCAAGCCACGGGGGTCTATCACGGGCTCATAGAGCGGCTGCCTCAGTTCCTGCTGCTCGTTCCCTTGCTGCTCGTTCCCTTGCTGCTCGTTCCCTTGCTGCTCGTTCCCTTGCTGCTCGTTCCCTTGCTGCTCGTTCCCGTGCTGCTCCTTCCCGTGCTGCTCCTTCCCTTGCTGCTCGTTCCCTTGCTGCTCCTTCCCTTGCTGCTCGTTCCCTTGCTGCTCCTTCCCTTGCTGCTCCTTCCCTTGCTGCTCCTTCCCTTGCTGCTCGTTCCCTTGCTGCTCCTTCCCTTGCTGCTCGTTCCCTTGCTGCTCGTTCCCTTGCTGCTCGTTCCCTTGCTGCTCGTTCCCTTGCTGCTCGTTCCCTTGCTGCTCGTTCCCTTGCTGCTCGTTCCCGTGCTGCTCCTTCCCGTGCTGCTCCTTCCCTTGCTGCTCGTTCCCTTGCTGCTCCTTCCCTTGCTGCTCGTTCCCTTGCTGCTCCTTCCCTTGCTGCTCCTTCCCTTGCTGCTCCTTCCCTTGCTGCTCGTTCCCTTGCTGCTCCTTCCCTTGCTGCTCGTTCCCTTGCTGCTCGTTCCCTTGCTGCTCGTTCCCTTGCTGCAGAAACTACCAAACATAGCAGTCCTGAGCACACCTGAACAGGTTCTTGGAAGTGAGTGAGTGGGATGCAGTGCGGTGCAGCGCTGTGACGTGCGGTGCTTTCTGGTTCTGTCACGTCCTCATGGAGGTGGCCAAAGATAGCAGTCATTGGCTGGTGATTGTGAGAATGGTCCAGTGCAATGAAGTGCTGTACTTGGGAGTAATGCAGCCAGAACCGCACTCCTTGGATTGCTGTGCTGTGACTGCTCCATGGTCCTTTTCCAAAGTTTTCAAAAACTTACAGCCAACCCACGCCACCCCACACCAACCCACGCCACCCCACACCAACCCACGCCACCCCACACCAACCCACGCCACCCCACACCAACTCACGCCACCCCACACCAACCCACGCCACCCCACACCAACCCACGCCACCCCACACCAACCCACGCCACCCCACACCAACCCACGCCACCCCACACCAACTCACGCCACCCCACACCAACCCACGCCACCCCACACCAACCCACGCCACCCCACACCAACCCACGCCACCCCCAAGCCAACCCCAAGCCACCGCCAAGCCACCCCCAAGCCACCGCAAAGCCACCCACAAGCCGCCACCAAACCACCCCCAAGCGACCCCCAAGCCACCCACAATCCCCTGCGTCAGGCATCACTTCCTTTGTCCTCCTCGCTCCCGTCCTTCTTTAGTCAACTCTAAAGTCACCCTTCCACCCCCTCTAAACACTGACGCAAGCCTGTCCTCCTGACGTCTCTCTTTCTCCTACTGCACCGCACCTTTTCCGCCTACGCTCCCTTTATCCACACTCCCTCCATCCACACTCCCTCTATCTGCACTGTGTCTTCCAGTGGGCATTCTGCGACCGAGTCCTCAAGCCACTGGTGGGCGTGGAGCTAGCGCAGATGAATCGAGTGGACGTCAAACCCAACGAGCTCATCTTTCTCTCAACTCTCACCCTCCTCCCTCACCCTTCCTTCTCCAGTGGGCATTCTACGACCGAGTGCTCAAGCCACTGGTGGGCGTGGAGCTAGCGCAGATTAATCGAGTGGACGTCAAACCCAACGAGCTCATCCTAGTCGACCAACTGTTCATGGTACACCCATCTCTGTCAATTTTCTTATATATTAAATAGACGTTTATATATCAATATTTATATTTATGCTAATATTTAAATATTACAGTGGTGACACATATATGCCTCTACATATGTTATGTAGACACATCCATACATGCCTGTCTGTATGTATGTATAGCAACAAAGATTTGTTTACAGTTTGGCCGTCTTACATGCGCACGTATGTTCTCTACTCCCCATCCAGATTGTCTTCCTTCGATGAATGTGTGCTTTGTGTGTTTAATCATGAACTGCTTTATATATTCTAACTTATTTGTACATTTACTTTGTGTCATCGTCTGTCCCCCTTACAAGCAGCCTCTTTACCAGTGTTGCGGCAAGCCTTCACCAGCCATCTGGCGAGACATGAGGCTACGGGCCCTGCTCCCTCCACACGGCCTCCCCTTTTTCCACAAGCATGGCTGGCAATCCCGAGGGATCCAGCCAATCACGGAGACGCAGGCGGCGGCTGTTCTGCGCTCTGATTGGCTCGTCGTTGTCGCACGCCGCCCGGGCAGCCGAAGAGTTTTGGACAAGTTTGAGGAGCTTTTGGAGGAGGTGAAGAAAGTTTTCGGGCAGGAGAAGGTTCGGACTTTCGACGGTTCGCTGCCGATTCTTGAAGGTTAGAAGCGATGATGATTGATTGGTTGTAATTTACCTCATTATGGTGGTGTGTGAGGTGAAAGTGTTTTCAGGCGTAAAAAAAAGTGTGAGGGTGGTTTGCTGCTGATTTCTTTCGACAAGTTTCGTGATGTAAACCTTTTGCCTTCTTGTACCCATTCTATACACACACCATCTGAAACAAATTCTTTTACTTATTTTCTTTTCTTTTCCTTTGGAACTTTGACTGGGCACAGCGGAGAGAATGGCAGTGAGCAAGGCAGCGAGCAGCACTGCAACAGAGACCGCATGCTATTGCTCATTCCCTCCTCCATTCCTGCCTATCCCCCATAACCTCTCCTCCCCCTCTCTTTCCCCTTCCCCCGCACTTCCATTCTCCCCGTCTCCCTATACAGCACGATCCCTGTTTCTACAAGCTCGCCTTTTCATAGCAGGGCATGGGGCAGCGCTAGCAAAAATGGTCTTCATGCCGCTAGGTGCTACATTGCTTGAGATTTGAACTCCCTTTCCCTGTCCTTGCAATCACCATCCCCACACAGCACGGTCTCTCTTCCTGCAAGCCCGTCTCTTCATAGCAGGGCATGGGGCAGCGCTAGCGAACATGGTCTTCATGCCGCTCGGTGCTACAGTGCTTGAGATCCGACCAGATCGTTACGACAACGCGTGTTACCACTTCCTTGCCAGCGCTTGTGGGTTACAATACAATCTAGTGTTGGGTCAAGGGGATCAAGACAGCGAAAATAAGTTTGATTTGGGCCAAGTTACAAATGCTTTAGTGAGCATACGCAGCGGATTTGGTGCCGTGCAATGATTGGCCTGCGCTGCATTTCACAAATCATGTCACGTGCATTTCAGTGTTTGTACGATATGGTGTTTTGTAAAGATTTTTGGGGCCACTGGACTGGACAAGGAGCCAATGTTTATGTTAAAGTGTTTGTACCTAAATATGAGGTGAAAACGGTTGGCTGAGAGTCTCTTGCTGATTCTTTGGTACGACAAGCTAAGTGCGTGTTAGTAGATCACGCATAGCTAATACTAGAACTGTCGTGAGTCGTGACGTGACTGACTTATAGGCTATAGCGAAAACTGAGAACGGCTTCCTTGGTGGGGTGGGGCGTGGCGTTGGGTGGGAGAGAGGGAAGCTAATTTTCACGCACAGTTTGCCGTTGGGGTCCAAAAGTTCTCGAGAATGTTTTCAGTCAAGAAGCACCCTCGTCGGTAGCACAGGCCAATGCACCGCCTCGATCCAGTGGTTGAAGTCAAGCCTCATGTGCGCGGGATGCGGTGATATTGTATGTAAAACGTCACGCCATTCCGACATAGCAGACCCTCGAGAACTTTTGTTTCGAAACCAAGAAATTCTTGAACTGATTTGTTTCTGCTACACCACTGCCACGGAGAATAGCTACCAAGTCTTGGTGAACACGGTGCTGAGAATGTCGGTGACAATCGGAACTGTGTGTGAGTTGCATTTTCGGGGTATTCTGTACGATATAGTTCGTTTTATCACGTTCCCAAGCGGTATAGAAGCTTCACACCAGGGTGGCTTTTGGTTCGTTCAGTTCAACTTCTTCCGACAACCATTGCGCCACTCTTCGTAAGCATGGCAGCATAAACACAGACTACATCTATCGTCATGATTGCGCAAACAGCCAATGCGGATCGAGCAACCTAATGTCGTCGATTCGCGGATTATTCTGACAGCACAGATGATCGCACCTTAGGCTTAGGTAGCTCTCTTATGGGTTCTGCGGGCTCGCGTTCGGCTGACAAATCGTGGAATCTATTGAGACCAAAGAGTGCGTCCGCGTTACAAAACGTCCGCGTTACTAGGCGTCTTGACACACGTGACGAGCTGTCGGCGGCAATCTCGTGGAAATAGGACATCTGTATAAAATAAAAAAAGTCGAACCATTCTCAAACCGAAATGCAACACCATTGCTCTCCCATCGCAATCGCCTCATCCGCTGCCACCCCGTCCGGTCTCTTTCTCCCATCCCTTCTCCTACCCTTCTTGCTCTCCCCCCTCACTCTCCCCCCACCGCCAGTCCCCTTCCAAGGTCCGTCCTCGTCGTCCATCCCTCACAATCCCCTCGCATCCCTTCCTTTCTCCTCCCCTGCTCATTCTCTCCCCCCGCCGCCAGTCCCCTCCAGGCATTCCGATTCCAATCCTCATTCCAGGCCCATCAATCGTCCTCGTCGTCCGTCCCTCACTATCCCCTCCTCGGACGATTCATTTCCGCCAAGACCGTCACCAGGCGGAGGACGCGCAGGAGGAGGATACGGCGCCGCAGGATACGGCGCAGGACACGGCGCCGGACACGGCGGAGGGTACGGCGGAGGATACGGCGGCGCCAGTCTAGGCGAATATGGTTACCCAGGCAACAACGACGACAATGTTCGCCACGACGCGAATCTGCCCACCCCCGTGGAGTTTTCATATGAGGAGCTCGTAGCGGCTACAGATGGTTTCAGTGCGGTGAACGTGCTGGGCGAGGGTGGTTACGGGAAGGTGTACCGCGGGGTGGTTCGTGAGGAGGCGCCAGATGGCAGCACGGAGGAGCGCCACGTGGCGGTGAAGCAGTTGAATGACGAGGGCCGGCAGGGGTTCAACGAATGGCTGGTAAGGGCTACGGGTGGTGGGGTCACAACAAGCTTTCCATTGGGTCTTGGGGCATGGGTGGTACGGCATGGGTGGTAGGGTGAGTGGTAGGTGGGGACAGGTTTTCCAGCACATTCCCAATATCTCCATCCCGTTTCCCCATTCTTTGCCATCTTTCTCCCCCGTCCATGCCTTCCCCGTTCTCCCCCCTCCATGCCTTCCCCGTTCTCCCCCGTCCATGCCTTCCCCGTTCTCCCCCGTCCATGCCTTCCCCGTTCTCCCCCGTCCATGCCTTCCCCGTTCTCCCCCGTCCATGCCTTCCCCGTTCTCCCCCGTCCATGCCTTCCCCGTTCTCCCCCGTCCATGCCTTCCCCGTTCTCCCATCATCCCCCTCCCCACCCTCCCTCCCCTCTCTCTCCCCACCTCGTCAGACAGAGGTGGTGTTTCTGAGGCGACTGCGCCACCACCCCCATCTGGTGCAGCTCGTGGGGTTCTGCGCGGAGCAGAATTATCCCTGCTCGTTCGCCCCGACCCCCCACCCCCTCTTCCCCATCTGTTGCCGTCTCCCCCCCCGCTTCCCCCTTCTACTTCTTCCAGACGGAGGTGGTGTGTCTGCGGCGGCTGCACCACCCACATCTGGTGCAGTTCGTGGGGTACTGCACGGACCAGCAGCAGCAGGGGTGTTGCTGGTCGCCGCTTTAACACACTACCAATTTCGTGTCTCCCCGTTTTCTTTCCCATCTTGTCTCCCCCTACACCACCTCATCAGACGGAGGTGGTGTTTCTGCGGCGGCTGCGCCACCCACATCTGGTGCAGTTCGTGGGGTACTGCACGGACCAGCAGCAAGCCCTGCTCGTATACGAGCTCATGGCCAATGCGTCCCTGGACTACCACCTGTTCGACGGTCAGTTGTCTTGCCTGACCACCACCTCTGTATGCGTATGGGTGGGTGGCTTTGGGTAGTGCACGGAGCTCATGGCCAATGCATCGCTGGACTACCACCTGTTTGACGGTCAGTCCCTCTCTGTTTGCATTCATGCGGATGTGTGTGTGTGTGTTTGTATGCGTGTGTGTTGGTGGCTGGGGTACTGCACGGACCAGCAGCAAGCGCTGCTCGTATTCGAACGAGCTCATGGCCAATGAACTCAGATGCATCGCTGGACTACCACCTGTTGTCAGTGGGGAGAGTGGTCAGTGCATCTCTGCATCTCTGCATCTCTGCATCTCTGCATCTCTGCATCTCTGCGTCTGTAAGCTGTGCACGTTTCTGCATCAAGGCATTGATTGGTGGGTCTTTCATTCCCTGCTTGCTCTCCCCACTCCTCACTCCCGTCTCCACTCTCCCCACTCCTCACTCCCGTCTCCACTCTCCCCACTCCTCATTCCCGTCTCCACTCTCCCCACTCCCTTCACGCCCCTCCCCTCTGCCCTCTCTCAAACGGTCCTTTGTATTGATTCAGCAGGGGTACAAAAACATGCAGTGCAATCCATGATAACCTCCTTCCCTTAAGCCCCTTAGCTCACCCCTCTGCCCTCTCTCTCTCTCTCTCTCTCCTCTTTCCATTTCCTCCCTCCCCCTGCCAGAGACCCGACACCAGACACTTGCGAGACACATGCACCCCACCCCGCTCCCTCTCCCCCCTCTGCCAGGCACCTGACCCCCTCTCACATGGCAACAGCGGGTGAATGCTGCTCTGGGTGCTGCCAACGGGCTAGCTCATTTGCATGGAGGGTCAGGTGACTCACCCAACTTGCGAGACACATGCACCCCACCCCGCTCCCTCTCCCCCCTCTGCCAGGCACCTGACCCCCTCTCACATGGCAACAGCGCGTGAATGCTGCTCTGGGCGCGGCTAAGGGGTTGCATACCTGCATGAGGGGACGGAGCGGCGTATCTGTATGAAGGAACCGAGTGGTAGTTCAGTCCACATGCGGTGACTTTTGAGTCGACTCAAAAGTCACCTTGCATGAGGGGACGGAGCGGCTTATCTGTATGAAGGAACCGAGCGGTAATTCAGTCCACCGCTCTAAATATGCCATGTCTCATCTCCCCTGTCCTCCCCTCCTCTGCCAGACACCCGCCCCCCTCTCACATGGCAGCAGCGGGTCAACGTGGCTCTGGGAGCGGCTAAGGGGTTAGCGTACCTGCATGAAGGGACGGGGCGGCTTATCTCCCCCTCTCTCCCTCCCCCTCCCCCGTCCCGCCCGCTGCCCAGACACCCGCCCCCCTCTCACGTGGCAGCAGCGTGTCAACGTGGCTCTGGGAGCGGCCAAGGGGTTAGCGTACCTGCATGACAGGACTGGTGACTCACTCAACTTGCGAGACACACGCACCCCGCTCCAATCCCTCGCCCGCCCCTCCCTGCCAGGCTCTCGCCCCCCTCTCACATGGCAGCAGCGGGTCAACGTGGCTCTGGGAGCGGCCAAGGGGCTGGCATACCTGCATGAGGGCACGGAGCGGCAGGTGATCTTCAGAGATCTCAAGGCGGCCAATATCCTGCTGGACGAGGTGAGGGCGTAGGGTTGTGTGTTGTGGGCTGGGGAGCTGGATCAACCAGCAACCCAAGAAGCAGGTGATCTTCAGAGATCTCAAGGCGGCCAATATTCTGCTGGATGAGGTGAGGGCGTAGGGTTGTGTGTGTGTGCGTGTTGTAGGCTTGGCTTGGGCCGAGTCAACACAAGGGGGTGGCTGGCTGGCTGGCTGGCATACCTGCATGAAAGGACTGCGTGGCTGGTAATCATACAAGATCTCATATGATTTTGGGTTGGCTGGTAGTCATACGAGATCTCATATGATTTTGGGCTGGCTGGTAAACATGCGATGCGAGATCGCATGGAGGCTTTTGAGTCGACTCAAAAGTCACCTCGTAATCATGCGAGATCGCATGGAGAACTCATTCCTGCTCTCAAACGAAGAAAACGGGTAGAAAGCTGCAAGCTCGGTTCGACCGACCTAACTACTCTGAGTAGTAAAAATCACTGAGTATGGATAACTCATTCCTGCTCTGCTGGTGATCCATGTCCCATCCCATCACCACACCCCCCTCTTAACCTTTTTCTGACAGAACTATAATGCGAAGCTGTCAGACTCTGTAAACTTTGGCCAAACACGGGCTGGCAGGTGCTTTGGGTTCCCCATGCATGCTGCTATCAATTTCCCACAACACTCCCCCCCCCCCCCCCCTCCCCATCCCCCCCTGCGTCTTTTCTCTCTCCCCCTCACCTCCACTGCTTGACAGCACTTCAATGCGAAGCTGTAAGACTTTGGACTGGCGAAGGAGGGACCCATACCTGAATACCCCCCTCCCCCCACACCACGCCACGCCACACCTCACCACACCACACCCCACCTCTCTCCACCTTTTCCTGACAGCACTTCAATGCGAAGCTGTCAGACTTTGGACTGGCCAAGGACGGTACTGCTGGTGCCTGACGTACTTTGAAATACCCCCTCGCCTCACACCACCACACCCCACCGCATCCCACCTCATCTCATCCCATCCCACCACTCTCAACATTTTCCTGGCAGAACTTCAATGCCAATCTGTCATACTTTGGACTGGCTAAGGACGGGCCGGCAGGGGAGAACACGCATGTGTCCACCTTGGTGGTCGGTACTTAGGTGGGTGACTTGTGAGTCGACTCAAAGAATAGCCCTGCCTCTCCCTCTCCCTCTCCCTCTCCCTCTCCCTCTCCCTCCCCTCTGCGGACAGAACTTCAATGCAAAGCTGTCAGACTTTGGGCTGGCTAAGGACGGACCAGCAGGGGAGAACACGCACGTGTCTACCATGGTGGTCGGTACCTACGGCTACACTGCTCCTGAGTATCTGCAGACAGGTACGGAGTAGGAGTTTAGACAGGTATGTTCTGGTTCAACATGGTGCAGAACGGTAAGGACCAGCAGGGGAGAACACGCTCGTGTCCACCATGGTGGTCGGTACCTATGGCTACACTGCCCCTAAGTATCTTCAAACAGGTATAATGTGGTTCAGAGCGGTGCATAGCTGTGTAGGCAGGTATGGCTCTGCAGAGGGGAGAACAGACACGTGTCCACCATGGTGGGTGGGTACTTATGGCAGAGCGGTACAAACAGGTAAGGGCTGGTGGAAGGGGGTCATTGAGCTTGTGGGATCTGTGGCTGCAAGGGCAACAAACGTTTGAGTCAACTCAAAAGTCAAAACAGGTTAGGGCTGGTGGAAGGGGATCATTGAGCTTGTGGATCTGTGGCTGGGAGGGAAACAAGCATCACCAACTCCCCTCCCCTCCCGCCCTTGCTCCACTGCCCCATTGCTCCACTGCGCCACCTTCACCAGGCCACCTGACAGCAAAGAGCGATGTGTATGCCTTCGGAGTGGTCCTCCTAGAGCTCCTCTGTGGCCGCAGAGCCGTGGACATAGACCGACCAGGCGACGAGAAGAACCTCGTGTTTAGGGCCAAGCCATTCCTCCCCTTGCCCCCCCACTGCACTACGTTCACCAGGCCACCTGACAGCAAAGAGCGACGTCTACGCCTTCGGAGTGGTGCTGCTGGAGCTCCTCTGTGGCCGCAGAGCCGTGGACGTAGGCCGGCCAGGCGACGAGAAGAACCTCGTCTTTTGGGCCAAGCCGTTCCTGGCGGACAGGAAGAGGATCGGGGAGATCGTGGATCCGAGGCTGCAAGGGCGGTTCTCGCACAAGGGAGCGCTGAAGCTCGCTGTTGCTGCGCACTGCTGCCTGCAGGACGCGAAATCTCGGCCGTCGATGGCCGACATGGTGCAGACTTTGACGGCTCTGATGGAGATGGGCGAGGGTGCGGGTGGTGGTAGTGGTCGTGGTGGTGACACACCCAGGACACCCAGAACGCCCAGAACACCCAAAACAGCAAAAACACCAAAAATGTTGATAACAACGAATACACTGAAACCAATGGGCAGTGCAGGTGGTGATGCTGACACACCTGCTGCATCCCGAACACCCTCTGCTGTCAGTGGTGATTGTGCCAATAGCGCAAGAGCTCATACAGGTGTGGGTGGTGATGCTGCTGGTGTGGGTGGTGGTGATGCTGGTATTGATACAGTTACTGGGAGTGATGGTGGTTCTTCTGGTGGTGCTGTTGCACCTGCTGACGGTGGCCTAACTGCTGCTTCCTATGATGCGAAATCGTTGCATCGTGTACAGGTGGTAGCAAATGGAGGTACGGTAGTACCAGGACTCGTTGAGACTTTAGGGGGATAGGCTGACCAGAGGGGTGAGCAAGAAGTTATTAACCCTAAACCATTCATTGCTAACATAGAGAGCAGCAAACTGTACCCTCATTTGAGATATGGTAGGTATCAAATGAGGCTTACATATATGTGAGCAACCTGAATGGTGGACAGCCCTGGCGAAACATCACAAGACGGTAACCATTTTCACTCTTACACTACCGGTATGACTATCTATACGTGTCAGGTTATTATACGTGTCTGGCTAAGATGAATCCCAAACCTTTACTCCGTGTGCAGAAGCGAGGAATGGAACAGAAACTCCAGATTAGGGCCTCAGAAGTATACAAGCAATCAAGACATGCAATATGATGTCCCCAAGAATTTACAGATTCCCCAACCTGAGCCTGACTCTCCTCCCTGTAGGGTCTGTACCGTCTGCATTCGAATCCTCAGCCCACATGGAATCCGCGGGCCTCCTTGTACCAGCTAGGATTTCACTGTTGTTCCCCACGCCTGCTACAGCCTGTAGCAGCTCCGCCTGAAGGGACGGGCAGCTGATTCGTAGATGCTCAAAACCTTCTGAATGGATCACACCTGTATAGCGACAGAGAGGGAGGAGACAGGGAAGAGGGTGATGAGGGCTAGAGTAACCAAGAGGAGGGACAATGAAACGATGGAGAAGGAGTGGGTAAGGGGAAGGGGGAAAGGGGAGGAGAGGGGTGGGAAAGGGGGGAAGGGGGGGAGAGGGAAAGGGGGAGACAGGTGGCGCGGAGGGCATAAAAATACAAGACTGTAGAATTCGCCTAGAATATTGCCAGTCCATACTCGCGAGGTTCTGCGCCGCGAATTGAAGGCACACGTTCTTGAGCCGCTTCGCGTTGTGCTGCTCTGCCAGAGCCAGCGTCGTCGCGACCGTATCCGCATCCACCGTCTCGCACAGCTTCGACTCGCAAATTAATCGCAGCCGGTCTAAGGCGTAGCGGTCCGCAGCCGCCAGCAAATGCTGCGCCATGATTGGCGTAAAAGCGGACGGCCCAGAGCTTGGGAGATCGTCGGTGTAGATGAAATGAAGGAGAGCTTTAAACACCGGAGCCTCGATGTCTGTAACGGGGATGTTACCCTCCCGCCTGTCCCGCATGGGTCCGTACAGTAAGGCCTTCAAGACTGGCGAGCGCGCGGCGAGGATGACTCTATGGGCGGACACCGTTTCATCTCCAACGTCGAACGTTACATCGCATCCCTCGCCCGAGTACAGAAGCACCTCGTAATCCTTCCCCATCTGCGACGGCGGAATTGGTATCGACACCGGCTGCTTCGGACCCTCCGTTTCAGTAACAACAACTCCGACCGTGCACGTGATCTGTAGCGTGTCGTCCTTGAGATAATCCGACGTCTCTAGCGTCGCTCGCCGGAAGAACCGCTTGTAACCCCACATGGATCCTCGGTACTTGAGCGTGTACGGTCCAGATTCAAGCGCGCGGTCGAAGTGCGAATGGACTTTATGGCGACCCCGTCCGCTTTGATCCAGCATCGTCAGCTCGAACAACGCACGGACGTCCGTCCCCTCGCTCGCAAGCGCGATGAAGAGCGAAACGTACTGCGAGTTATCCTCCGCGTTCTTCCCGTCCGGGTAAAAGTAAATAGCCCATTTGAAGCCTCCAACGGTAAACGTGTCGCTGGACATGTATTTGCCGACTCCCATGCCCTTGGCGAGGGAGTAGCCGGTGATGTTGAACTGATGGCTGCCATTTACCGTCTTGGTGATGCTCCTGGACTTGGTAGGACTGCCTGGCGGATCCTTCGCCGGCATCCTTATTAGCGTGGAGAATAATTCAGTGAAGAGGTGTAAGAAAAACAGAACGGAAGACGCTATGACAGCACTTTTGAAGACGAGACGCGGTTTACTATGAAGCGAGAAGCAACGGATTTTGTTTTTCTACGAAAACGAAAATTAAGAAACGGTAGAGAAACCGTCCACCCGCAGCGAATCTCACAACCCCTAACAAGCCTGCCAAGAACAAGACAAAGCCGTAAGTAATAAAGCTAGGCGAGCACTGAGATGGCGACTGAAAGTGATGGAAGTACTGAAAATTTGGAGGAAAGGAAGCTAGGCCTGCAAGCTTCAAGTAAGAGTTGCAAGAAAGAAACGAGTGGACGGACAGAAATAAGGAAGCGTATGGAGGTGCTTCGAGATAAGGAGGCCCGTGAAACCCTAGGCACGGAGGGATGCAGCACAATCGCATTCTTGATAAGAAACACCAAAGAGAGGAAAATTGCACGGTCCTGTACGGTGAGCTGTTCATCTCGTTAGGTGGTGTGAGGTGGTTTGAAGTACGCGTTTGTCTGTCCACAGCTGACGCATGCACGGATTGGGATGGATGCGTGAAGGTGATGGATGTTGCGGCGATGGGATTTGAGTGGCTGTGCGGGCCACCGCACCAGAGAGGTCTGGCACGGACGCAGACTGACAGGCGGAGATAGGGGAGGTGGATGGGCGTTGGAATGGATGAACGCGGAATTATGTAAGAGCGAAGAACGCGGCAACATCTGTGGACAAGCTTTGCTATTCTAGTATGATTGCATATAAGCGGTGCAGAGAACATTACAATTATACTAGCATTTGCAACACATACTCTTCTAACAATGCTAACTGAAAACAGTGTCCCAGCTCTAACATATCGGACCAACCCATTGTAGCTTGACGTTGATGCCATAGGCAGTACTGGAACTTCACCAGCAGTAGCACAACCCATTGCCTGACCCCACCGTAGATCACAAGCTCGGCTCGGACACATCAATTACCAGCTCCACTGGTACAGGCACTGTATCCCATCCACCGTCCTGCACATTTTCCCTCTCATCCACAGGACCATTCTCTGCAGCAGTAGGCTCAACATAACCAATTGGCACATCCTGTCCACTCGCCAAGCCTGGAGAACCGCTCTGATGATCCCCCAGACCTGAATCTCCTAAGCCTGTACTTTCCAGATCTGTATGTCCAGGACCTGTATTTTCCGAAGCTGTATTTTCAGATGCTGAGTTATCTGCGCCTGCATTTTCCATACCTGGATTTTCCAGGCCTGCGCTACCCACTGCTCGCCTGGACTTGCGCTTACGACCGACGTTTGCGGATGGCTGCTCACTTGGATCCTCTGCACAAGGCAACAGAAATGAAACAAGGGATCCAAATAAACGATTGACCCAGATGACACTGTTGTCTGTGCAAGGTAGAGCAAATAGTGAAAATGCTGCTGCCATACACAGTCAAGGGCACATAGCATGAAATACGCTCACCTCTAGCTGCCAGCTCCTCATAATTACATCCACGCCGAGGTCCCCCCCAGCCAAACTTTGAAGAAGATTCGATCTTCGACTTGGAAAAATCCAGTCCGTCCACAGCTGCTGGATCAACGGCCATGATCTCAAGAACATTCGGGAGCCGGAAAGTCACAGGCTGGTAACCGTCAGACTCGTCGTCCTCAATACTTGCTCCCGTCTTCTTCCTCCTGCTCGCCCTTCCTCTCCTAAGCGCAGCCTTCTGCTGCACGCCTGGCGCGACATTGTAGTATGGGTTGCTGTTGCTGTTACCTGGGACTTGGCCTGGCATGAAGTTGAAGTATGGATTGCTGCTGTTGCTGCTACCTGGTACTTGGCCTCGTGTGAAATTGAAGTATGGGTTACTGTTGCTGCTGCCTGGTACTTGGCCTGGAACGAAGTTAAAGTACGGATTGCTCCTGCTGCTGCTGCCTGGTAATTGGCCTGGAAAAGACTGGAATTGACCTGGGTGGAATACGGTTGACTGGCCTGCTGGTGGGTGGGCCTGGGTCAAGGGGGTGCTGACGCGTCTAGCCTTTCTGACGAGCTGGGCAAGATTCTCACGAGCGTTGGAAATTGCCACGTCAGCGTTGTCTCCTGATGTCCGTGGGGGTGGACAGGCAGGGGGTGCGGGGTAAGGGAAATGCTAAATGTCTCTAAGCACGGATACTTTTATGCAGGCAGCGAGGGAACGATGTGAGGTTGTGTTTATCCCTAGAGGGAACAGTGGAGTCCATAACAAGCTGATGAGGCGACAGTAGTAGCGAGGTGACAATAACGAGGTAAATGGAGTATCTACCACCAGCAACAGCGGCGCCAGCAAAGATTCTATCTACCTAGTGGAGAGCGGCTTCGATGAGGAGGAAGGGGTCGGAGGAGGAAGGGGTTGGAGTCGGTGGGTAGCGATCCTCCCGGCATGAACGATACTACAGACGATAACGAGGTGAAGGTTGTGCCTACCAGCGACAGCGGCGCCAACGAAGAGCCTCTCGACGAGGTGCGGCGCGGCTTCGATGAAAAGGAGGAAGAGGTCGGAATAAGTGGGTAGCGATCCTTTTGGCATGAACAGAGTGAGTCAATGTCTTTTACAAACGACAGAACCGAGGTGACAATATCGAATGCTATTGCTCACCAGCGATAGCGGCGCCAACGAAGAGTCTCTCGACGAGGTGCGGCGCGGCTTCGATGAGGAGGAGGAAAAGGTCGGAGTAGGTGGGTAGCGATCCTTTCGGCATGTACGCCGCGAGTCCGCATCGCAGCACGTGCAGCGGGTCGCGAAGGTCTTTGGAGATAAAGATGGTGCGACTAGGCTGAGCGGAGAGCGACTCGCCTATTGATGGAGGCTTGGGATCGGACGCCATGGGCTCGTTGGAGAGCCTCGAGGAGTTCTGATATTAGAGGTTATTCAGTGTCAGGCAATGAGCTTCGAAGCTTCGAGAATGGAATATTACAACGCGTATTAGTGCTCTCTTTTGCTCCAGTCGCAGAACTTGGTGTTCTGAACGTGAACAGCGCACTCGCTAGTGACTGGCGATTACTCGCGCGATTACGAGAATAACCTGGTGCTGTGAAGAGAGAACCAGAGTCGTTCTAGGGCGTGCTTGTAAACGCTGCCAACTTCGTGTCATTCCTTCCACGGAATTTTGGCACGAATGGATAACTGTGAGCGGAAGTTTGAGATCGCCCTGCTTTTTGTTCGCTCGTGGTGTTCTAGCGACATACACGAAGAATGCTGTTACCGATCTGACCTTGGACCATGTCAAATGCGAGGCACGCGATAACATTCCTTCTCGGCTAAAGCGCCGTTACAATTTCTGGTTTCGCGTTTACAGAAGGTGCTGCCTCGGACGCTATTCCACACGAGAATCACTGCTTGTTGCAATTTCCATTTCCCATAGAACGCGGATCAGGTTGTTCTTTCTGTTGCCTCTCTACTCCCTCCCATTCGTCACCTCCCATCCCCATAATCTTAGCTGGCTCTCTCCTGGCGGCGTCACTCGCCCTGCCATAATAAATCCTCGTCGCGATATCAAGTGATCGATACCCTCTTGTTCCTTGCCATCCACTCAGCCAGTTCCGCCCGTCGTCTTGCTCGAGCTTCGCTGTTCTCAGATTCAATCCACCACATCCATTCGCGGCACGCGCGAAGTGTTTCTTCTTCCATCCTTCGAAGTACTAATCTTCCTTCGAAGTTTTAGTTCCGAATTGTCTGAACGCGCAGTTACTTTCAAGCGCGCACGGGGCACAGTATAAATCTTCCTTGCTTCGGAATTTGTCTTGTTGGTACATTCGTTCCGCACGCAATGACAACAATCCGACGGTTCACGTGCGACGATCTGTTTCGATTCAACAATGTGAACCTCGATTGGTACACGGAGACTGTAAGTGAAGTGCGCTTTCATGCACTCACATGCACTGAGGGGAGGGATGGAGGAGCTGCGGGGAAGGAAGGGTGCAGGAATGGACTATGAGTTTACTTAAAAGCCACCTCACTTGCACTGAGGGGAGGGATTGTTTGAGTCGATTCAAACCTCGACTGGTACACGGAGACTGTAAGTGCACTCATTTGTACTGAGCGTAGGGATGAAGGAGTCTGATCGGAAGGAAGGAGGGGACGAGGGATGAATGGAGGGCATGAGAGAGAGGTGACGGGAGGGAGTGTAAGGGAAGGAAGCAGCCGATTGAACGATTTTACAATTTATCTGTACCCTGCCAATATATTTTTCTCTACTTCATTTCTGTACATGATACTACACTCCTCATATTATGGCAGTACAACCTGAATACAGATCTTCGCATTTGTGTTTCTCTATGTTATTCCTGTACAATGCACTACGCTAAACTCACCACATGGCAGTACAACCTGAACTTCTACCTGGGCTACATGGCGAGCTGGCCGGAGTATTTCGTGGCGGCTCAAGGACCCGGGGACCGAATCATGGGCTACAGTGAGTGACGTGGCATGGTGACATGGCGGGCTAACCCCCATGGTAGTACACAGGACAAGTCAATGTATAAGAAGTTGCATTGCGAAGGCGAGGTGTCTGTCACTGCACAGTATCTCCTATGCCCCTTTTCTCCTCTCCACTTGACAAACGCAACGCAGTCATGGGCGAGCTTTGGCATGTGCATATGCATCGGTGAACTCTCCACACTGCACCGCACCTGCGCCTCTCCAACCCCCCAAAAACTTCTAAACCCCCCTCCCTCTTTTTCTTGCATGGCAGTCATGGGCAAGGTGGAGGGAGAGGGCGAGCTGTGGCACGGGCACGTGACGGAATTGACTGTGGCACCCGAGCATTGACCACAGCACATTTTGTGTTTCCATCCTATCCCCCCTTCCCTCCCCTCTATTGGCAGTCATGGGCAAGGTGGAGGGCGAGGGCGAGCTGTGGCACGGGCACGTGACTGCGCTGACAGTGGCGCCGGAGTATCGACGGCAGCAGCTGGCAGCAAAATTGATGGACATTCTCGAGGAGATCACCCACAAGACGT